TATTTTGTAAAGAAAAATATATATAAAAACAATAAAGTTTAGATTTGCATGAAAGATGTTTTCTGAATATGAAATGATAAAAAATTATAAGCCTATATAAATACATTATAAAGTTTTTGAAAGAAAATTTACCTAGTATATATAAAATAAATATTGACATGATGCTGAAAATTATGACGACACTACTATACCTGAAAATTTGAGTATAGCAGATTTCAAAATTATTATTATTATTCTTTTAAGTAATATGAGTACAAGAAAAAGTTTAAAATTATTATTATTATTCTTTTAATTAATTTGAGTACAGAAGTTTCAAAATTATTATTATTTTTTAGTTACTGTGAAAATTGTTATTATTATTATTATTATTATTATTATTATTATTATTATTATTATTATTATTATTATTATAAGTAATTTGAGTACAAAAAATTTTATAATTATTATTATTTTTTGGTTACTGTAAAAAGAAATTTTGTTTGCATAAAATTCCACGCTTTATAAAGATTTATTAATTTTACAAATAAAATGGGTTTATTTTATATTGAATGGTGACTAAGACAATTTTGAAAAAAAAAAAAGAAAAAAAAAACTATCTATTTTCAAAATTATCCTCTTGATTTTTTAAACAATGTATTCGTAATTTGACTTAATTATTCTAAAATTTTGGAACTTATGGAAAAATTAAAGAGATGAATTTCAATTGATTTGAAATTCTTACCCCATTTTGAATCTCGTGTAGATTGAAACCAAAAAAATAGAAATTCATTACGATTTTGTAATTTCCAAGAGGTTTGTTAATTTTAAAGTGGCACAAAATCCTTCATTTAAGGATATGGATAGAAGCATGTGATTAGATACTTTTGAAATTCGATGAATTTGAACAAAATCCTTTATATTAGGAAGACATTTTGAATTAAACCCAATTTTATGGCAACTAAAATGAGAAGGGATTTTGCATTTCAAATTTTCAATTCAAGTCCAAAGGATAATTTTTTGGCAATCTGATTGTTTGGAATAAGAAAACACAATCGAATTTTTTTAAATCGAATTTATAGGTAAGTTGTAAATATTTCTCGTCTATTTAAAAATAAATGTGAATAATAAGTATAATTATAAATCTTATATTGTTTCATTAATTAGATGAATTTGTTTTTATATAAAATATTCAAATCAAAAAATTGAAGTGGTTGAGTAATTTATTAAACACTAAATTTCCTTATATATTTTATATACGAATATATTATATATATAATCTCATAATTTTCTAGAGTTGTTGTCGGTTACCTTATCGTTCAAATTTATCAACTAATTTTTTAAAATTAAATTAAAATTTTTTAACTTTATTAACCAATGTTTCATCAAATCTTATGGTAGCATATCAATAAATATAAAAATAAATTAGGTAGAAATAAAATAATTGATTGAAAAATTTTGAAAATTTTAATCAATAGATTTAGATCAATTATTGATTTCACATTAACTTAAATAAAAAATTACGTATGCATATAAATTATTCGCACTAAATATCTACTAATAATTACCAAATTATTGCTTTTGATTTTTTTGGAAATCAAATAGACCATCTCGGGTTTTTTTTTTTATATATATATATATACCAAAAATAATTGAATGAATCCATATAAATAGGGATTCTTTCCGAATATTAAAAAGTGTTTTGTATTGAGATAATTATGGGCATTTAATTAAAACTTTTTGAATTGTGCTATTTTTAGTACGTAATTAATGCATTTGGCTGGAAATTGTTTCTAATTTGTAAAATTATGTTATTCCTTTTAGATAATAATAGATGTCCACATCAATATTTTATGACTACATTTTCGTTCAACATCATCTCACATTGATTAACGCATTTAAATACTTATATTGGGCTCATTTTTCTAATGTTTTAAAATTGTTTAATTTTTGTAAAATCTAATGCATATAAGAATAATTCTGGATCATTGGATCCAACATATCAATGATCATGATCCAATCAAATATTAAATATGACAATCAAATATGAAGGTGAGGTCGGCTGAAGAGAGGCCAAACGTAGAGGGGGTAAGAGCATCTCCAATGTAACTTTTGACAATATAAAAATTTATCCATATCATCAATTTTTGGAAGTGTGTTACTAAATTGTTCTCCAATGCATCTTGTCATGAGTTCTTTCATGATGAGGTAGATAACATTTAATGTTGACAATGTTGAGTACACTTTCTAATATCTAACACCATGTTAAACATGATGTCTAATTAATTCACTTTATATTTGATTTAATTTTTTTATTTTTCTTGTATTAATGATTATTTTTATTGGTCCACCTATACAAATAAATTCTTATCAAATCTACTCTTTTAACATTATTCCTACATGGATTAACATTACAATCATTGATTGACATGTGTTCAAAATCAATGGCTTTCAAAGTCATAGCATTGGAGATGCTCTAAGGACATCAACAGGAGTTAGCGTGCATACATACGCAGTGAGGTGGCTTCATTCATTTAACAAGAGGTTAGGAGTGATGTGGTATAACAAAGCGTTAATGGTAGCCCGTGACGAACCGGTTGTGACCCGGTCGTCATTGGCATGTGAAGAGGACCGGCTAAGAACCTGGACAGTTAGGCAGCGGGGTACTCTATCAAACTCCATAGTATTGTTATGCTACCCCCAAGTGCGCGGCACTCTCAAGTGCGCGGCACCCCCAAGTGCGCGGCACCCTCAAGTGCGCGGCTCGCCCAAGTGCGCGGCACCCTCAAGTGCGCGGCACTCCCAAGTGCGCGGCACCCGTAAGTGCGCGTCACTCCCAAGTGCGCGGCACCCCCAAGTGCGCGACACCCTCTAGTGCGCGGCACTCCCAAGTGCGCGGCACGCCCAAGTGCGCGACACCCTCTAGTGCGCGGCACTCCCAAGTGCGCGGCACCCTCAAGTGCGCGGCACTCCCAAGTGTGCGGCACCCCCAAGTGCGCGGCACCCCCAAGTGCGCGGCACCCTCTAGTGCGCGGCACTCCCAAGTGCGCGGCACCCTCAAGTGCGCGG